AGCATGTACTTAACATAAATAATAGCCGATCACTCTGTCCAATGACTCAATTGCAATTATAAATCCATCACCGCTGGCTACCGGCCACTCTTAATAATAATTCACAGATGTGTGGCGAGCCATTTGTTTGCCACAGTAAGACAAATTGAATTTCGCTTGATGGATGCTTATGCATCCATCGTTATGTGGATGTTGTTGGGTAAGAACCGGGTGCTAAATTATGGAAAAGCGACTGCAAATGACAGCAGATTTGAGTATCTTTATTTAAGAGCTACGCTAATTAGTTTACCCCTTTGAACCATTACATTTAATGACCCCGCCCCGCCTTGAATTCTGTTTGCCGTTTGCATTTCGAGTGCACCGTCTGGCCGTTTAAGCCGTTTGGCAAATCAAGTTTCCTTTTTATTTTAAGCATTTCCTTTCATTTACTTCCTCGAATTGTGATTTTTTTTTTTATTAAACTGGTTAGGTACACAAAACTCAGTTTTTGTTTTGCTTTTAGAATCAAGAGCAGTTGTCAAATTTCAAAGAGCGCAATTTTTTTTAGAAGCGCAAAAGGCGAAAATTAATAACTTTGTATCCATTATGGTTAAAAAAAAACCTTAGCCCACAAAAAATGTTCGACGAGTGAAGCGAGGCGAAAAAAGTTTTGTTCTATTCATTATTTATCAGTTAAAACTAATTAGATTTTTTGCTGTTCTTCTTCTCGTAATATTCTCAGCTTACTAAAATTTTATATAATTTCTGTCGGAAATGATGCAACTTTGTAATAAATTGAGGAACTTTATGTGGGCATTATATTAAGCGAGAATTATTTTGTTAACAGCTCTTCAACATGCATGGCAAGGCAATTTGCATAATAAGTTCGGGAAAGTGAGATTGTCGAATAATTAAAAATATTCGATTATCACGTATACGTACCGTGGGCTTTAAAAGTTATCTTGTGCCTTGATAATTTGAACAGTTTTTGTATATATCTCTTTCAAATGTTTGTCTGTGGCCGTTTAACACTGAGCACGTTTCTCTTGATTTTAACTATTTCCTTATAGGTGGTGAGTCTACCAGATCGAAAACTTCCTTTTTGGTCACTTCACTTGCGTTTCACTTTTGATTTTGGTTGACAGCCAAAAAAACTTGCAACGCACTCTGGAAACTTAACGTGCTATGTACTTGTAAGCGGCGCTCGCAGACTAATCAGAATCCCAGCACCCGACTATCTTATATATCCGTCCGATCCGCCGCAGTCTCGGTCGCCGCGGGCTGCGCAGTCGCAGTCGCAGTGGCAGTGCTGCGATGAAGAATGGCAGCGGCAGCGGCAGCGGACGCGGCAGAGCCCAGAATGACAGAAAAAAAAAAACCAGTTCCTGCTCTTACAGCCGCTGCAATTACCGCTCGCAGCATACTACATGTGCGGATGCCAGATTAGAATTTGTATCTGTATCGCTGGTTTGGCTGCCATTTTCAGCGGTCCGGTGACGTAGGAAATGAAATGAAATTCCAGGCGGTTCCTCACTTGCTAATTGGCGGGCAAAGGCAAAGCACTTAGTTATGGTTGTTTTCTATTTTCTAGCCACTAGACGCTTGGAAATCCCTCGCATGACACACAGCTGAAAACGGTTCGATGAAAGTGAGACACCACTGACTAGACCCAACTAGAATGTTGCATTTAAATGGGTTTGTCCTTCGGAACAGGTCAGTGATTGGAAAAGTAAAGAGGCTCAAAATATGTGTGTTTCCAAGTAAACAACAGCTTAATTTTCGGATGTGATAAGGTCAAGGCCTTAATTAATCAATACAGGAATAGAAATCAATGCACTTTAGCCACTAGGATTAGGAACGACTTTCTTAAAAGTAGAGACTCGTGAGAAAACGGGTTTTTGGTAATGAAGATTTGTAACTTAAGATGTTTTTGAGTGAGTTATTTTATTCTTATAGTGTCGCAAGCAGGCAGGAGATATATATAACAAAAATTTGTAAAATGTTATCAAGTTATTTGGTTAAAGTGTAGTGAGTATTATTCATTCATTAAATGCAAATGTTCTGCTACCTTAACACTTTTCATCACTGTCTACTCGGTGCTGGTGTAAAAATCACAGTTCTGCTGGCTTTTAAAAGCTCGAATTATATTTGAACTTGGTTGTGAATGCTATTACAACTTTATTACTACTACGTTTAGTTAGTTTTAATTACGAACAAATGGTCGAATATACGACTGTCGAAGCACGAGGAGACTGTAAGCAAGAGTGATTGCGATTTATGGCATTTGCCCCCCGACTGTTAGTATTTCTTACTGTGCGAAATCGAAATCGCAATTAAAAATGGAATTTCACATGGTCCGAGGATCGGTGCAATTTGTAGATGGGTGCTGTTTGCTGTCAGCTGAGTCGGTCCTCATACATATGTGAAAGGGATTGCATCCCATTACGGAGTCGGTGTGAAAACTGGCAGTTGAAGTATTGCGCCGAGGCGCCTGTCCCCTGACTTTTAAGTCAATCATTACTCAATAAATACCCACTGCTTATGAATGCAGTCGCGTTCGTTCCAATCATAGATAGAATAAAATGGACGTTATTAACAGTAGACAAGTCTGAAGTCGATCATTGTTCGCAGTATCAAGGTTAATCAGTTAATTTATTGAACTGCTTAAAGAAAGCTCCGGCACATTCGAATGTCCAGGAATCCGAAAATAGTATTATGTTCGATTAATCGACTGTTAATTAGCCAGTCAAAGCTGCAAATCTCAACTACGATGCGGGCAAGGAACTTAAAACTTTCGAATGGCACCAGCACCATTACCGTACAATGTGATCATATTTGCATGCACAGCGATCAATTTAATTTTAATAGACAAGTATATGACAGCTGATCGATTAAATTAGGAATAGCTAATATACTGCTTTTAAATTTTAGTCGCGAGCACTACCTAACCGATATATGTTAATGAACTCGCTACATATAAAAATACATTGTTGTTTTAAATTCAATTAAATTCCTTTTTTATCGATTTTATACCAATCAATTTTTAATGGGATCTAATAAAAAATTGGTTCCATACAAATAGTTGTCAGCAGTTTAACGATTTCAGCGCTAGTTGCATTCGCTGTTGATTGACCATAAAAATGCGGATTTTTCTTTACATTGAACTAATTATGGGAAAAGGTGTGCAATTGTGCAACTGTGCAATTTTACCACCAGAACCCTCAACTGTGCACAAAAACTTGAAACATTAATATAGAGTTTTTAATTTCTTTTTAATTGCTTGTTTTAATTGACATAACCATGACCGTCCGTTTCTTTACATTCTAGACTCTTATTTTAAAAGCGTTCCACAAAAAGTATTAGCTTCCGTACTTCAATTGTTACAATATATTAATTTGGCATTCTGCATTTGAAGTATCTCAAATTCATGATCAGAATAATAAATTACGCTTAGGGGGTTTCCTGCAAAGAAGGATTCACATGAAAGTTTTGGCAATTAATTTTAACTGGAATTTTATTGAGCTTTGGCTTTTAAGTTGCGTCATTTACCCTCGAAAATGTTATGACATCGGGAGTGTTGCTCGTAGAGTGATCTGCAAGAAGTCTCAACTAATTGATTAACAAAATCTTATTGATTTCCATTAACACGCGACACAAAGAGGGTGTGGTCAGGCCAATTTAAATTAGCGCATTGTCTTGCCATGTTTACATGCTTGCTCGTTTGTATCTGGTAGATGCTAAGGTTCATATCTCGCAATTCACACCCGAGTCACGTTTCCAGATCGCAACGTCAGCGTTCGTGGCGAGGCATCTTTGAAACCGGCTAGTCGTCGGCTGAGCTCGTGCATCCGGACTTCCCCAAAAAGAAAGTATGACGCATCCGCCATGTCAGCCAGACAATTCTACGAAACGAATCGCTTGTCGGCCGGCCACAATTTTCTCATTTGTGTTTGTCGTTTTGCGCGTTTTGTGCTTTTTTGCTTTTGTGCTTTTCAAGGAACGCTTGTGACGCGATAGTGCTGCGGCAACTGTACTGGGAAAAAATCACCGAAAGTTTTAAAAATCTGACTAAAAAACATTTTTTTATTTTTATTTTACTTTATTTTCATCGCCGAGTTTAAATAATAGGTTTATTATTATTATGCTTCCCAAAAATGTTTGATTTCAATACATAAAAGTGTAACGATTATTTTAACATTAAATCTGACTAAAATAAAGTTTTTTTTAATTTTAATTTTATTTTTTTTCATCACCGAGTTTAAACAATAGGGTAATTGTTATTATTGCACAAAGTTTTATTATTATTATGCTTCCCAATAATACTTGATTTCAGTACTTACATCTGATAAAACAATGATACCAAAAGTTGACAAAAAATGTAACGATTATTTAATTTAACATTTTAATTTAAAAATGCTGACATATATAAAATCATATTAATTTTATATTATTCTAAACCTTGATTTTGAAAATAAAAATAAATCAAATAAATATAAATTCTTTGAGATTGAGGCTTTGAGTTTCTTTGAGTGTGCATTTGCAGGAGGCAGTCGAACTCGTTTTCGCCCCAAAAAGTATTTCCCTAAACAACTCGACGCGGGACAATTTACTGTTAAGAACAGCCGGCGGCTATCGAATTAAACAATTCGACGTCGCTGATTGCTTTCGCATTCGACTGATCGATTCTTTTGATGTTGTTGTGATCTGCGACTGTGATTTGGCCTTTTACGGTTGGTTTCGCTTTATTACGCATACGTCATGTTGGACATGACAATGACAGCAGCGCTTTTTGTCAACATGCGTACCACAACCATAACCATCTTAATCGCGAACGAGTCGAGTGGCAAGCGGGTAATTAATTGCAAGAATCTGGCCCCTGCACTTACGGAAGTGCCGAGCACTTGACCAGCCGGACAGCTGGGCCAATTCTAATTAACTTACGCGGCCAATTAAACTATCATTAGAGCTGCCATCTACCTATGGATAGTGACATTAATGCATAGGCGTGGTGCCAGAGACGGGCCACTTGCTCTTGTTAAATGCAAGTGTCGCAAAGTGTTAATGAGGTAATTGCAAAAAGTAAACAAATCGAAATGATATACGGGTAAAAACAGGTTTTTAAAAACACCTGAAAACTTAAGAGCACAGAAATATTTCCAAGATAAGCTGCATGTCGTCACAATTCACTTTTTAAAATTGACTATAAATAGATAAATTTTAGTAATTATTCCGATTGTGACAAAATCAAATTTAGCACTCAAAATTGATCCATTCTTTAGGAGCTCTGAGGAATTCTTATTAAAGTTGATAAAACGATAAGACAAGTTGACCTACAAATATTTTAAGTATTTGTACATTTATGACATACTTAAATAAAAATAAGTTAAAACAGCTTCCGCACTTTAGTTTTAATATTTCTGTGTCTTATTACTAAAATTTAAATAGACATATTTAAACAACTAATTAAAACTAAGACTTTTATGATGCTTTAAAGAGGGTTTCTCGGTTACAAACTTATTTAAGATTTTTTTTTAATTTTATTTTCCGTTTAAACGTTTTTATATTCTTTTATTTTACGGCATAAAATCGTTTGAGCATTAAATGTAATGCCTTCAATAATTTCAGATTAGTTTACGATGGTTAAGACACCTAAACTCACTCAAATGCACACATACCCATTAGAGCCAAACAAAATGGATATTTAAAGTGAAAACTTAAAATGTTCAATTACTTCAACTTGAGAAAACACATTACCGTCATGCAAGCCTAGTCTATAGAGTTTGAGCTTTAAAGTGATATATTACTCTGTGACTTAACACAGTTGAGTCCAAGTGGTTCCACTTACAAGTGATTTTAAGACACTCGAATCACTTGCAAATCTTAAAGTCAGTAGAAAACTTGTAAATAACAACATTTAAATATTGTTATTTATTATGATACTTAAATTCGGCAGAGAAGGTCGTGTAACAGATCGCATAAGTCTCCCTCAAACACAACCTAAGCTAAACTTTTTATGTACCTTCGCCAGTAGAGTATATTTCAGAAGATACAGAGATGTTTTCTGATATCGGAGAAGTTAAGCTAATCGAAGTTCCAAGACAGAAGTTAGCAAAGAAGTAGAGTAAAAGGCTATATTGCATTCGTTAAGAAGGAAGAAAGTGCGATTGATCAGGATCAATCTAGCCATGTCTGTCTGTCTGCCCGTATGAACATCAAGATCTCCGAAACTAAAAAAGCTTAAGATTCTAGTAATACTTACACAAAAATTCGAACTATTATTTTAAAGTTATTGTGCTATTAAGTGCACTGCCGCCGCTCGGCTGCTGCTCTGCCGGAAAAACAATGCAGATGGCGCCACCTAGTCAGAGAACTCGACCATAGGGTTATTTCTTATTTATATAAACATTTGTGTTATTCTCTTATAATTTTCTCAAATATTTTAAAGATTTAATTGTGTTTTTTGCAAACGTATTGTCGTATGTCTTGACATTTGTGCAATCTTCTTGTTTATGCCCATGTGAATTAACTCTGTTAGCTCTGAGAAACCAAGATAATCAGCCCCAACCAGTAGGCCTAAAAATGATATGCAGAATTTGTCCAGTCTATCTTCTTTACTTTTTATACCCTTGCAGAGGGTATTATAATTTCAGTCAGAAGTTTGCAAGCAGTGAAGGAGATATCTCCGACCCTATAAAGTATATATATTCTTGATCAGCATCACTAGGCGAGTCGATCTAGCCATGTCCGTCTGTCCATCCGTTTCTACGCAAACTAGTCTCTCAGTTTTAAAGCTATCTGCATGAAACTTTCCCAAAAGTTGTCTTTCTATTGCAGGTAGTATATAAGTCGGAACGAGTCGGACGACTATAGCATATAGCTCCAATAGGAACAATTGAAAAAATAAATAAAAAAAAATTAAACCTTTGCTGTTTTTTTATTTTTGTTTAGTTCTTCGACATATAGCAATGGTTAAATATTTCCGAATTACGGTTTAACTTTCATCAAAATCGGACGACTATATCATATAGCTCCCATAGGAACAATCGCAAAACAAATACAAAAAAATTATAACTTTGCTGTTTTAAAATTTTTTTTTTAGTTCTTCGACATATAGTAATGGTTAAATATTTCAGAATTACGGTTTAAATTTCATCAAAATCTGACGACTATATCATATAGCACCCATAGAAATAATAAAAATATATAAAATAACTATCTAATAATTGAGCTGCAAATCATCATTGCTTCAATGCTTTTAGACATATACGCAAGTAAATCAATCAATCAGTAAATGTTTTCAAAAATATATAGTTCTTGCAATAGCTGCAAGGGTATATGAACTTCGGCTTGAAGAAGTTTGCTTCCTTTCTTGTTTACAAGCGGGTTTAGTTCGAGGTAAGGAAACTTAATCCGTAGCGGGGGGAATCCTTTTGGGCCACCCCAAGAATCTGGGTGAATATGGTCTCCGGGTCAATTAATGCATTATTCAAAGCCCTGAGTTGAATTTGATCTGTCTTTTAGACTGATTACGGATATGTTTTCAAAGGAGATCTACCTTCTACCTTCTTTTCCGAATTTGATGCAGTGAGTGTATAGCAACTACAAAAAATTTATGTTTAAGGTTATTTTTATTTATTATTAACTAATGCTGCACGATTTTGGATTTTTTATTCTGTGCAAATACATTTTATTTAAAGCTCCTTGTGACGGTATGCTATCAAATAAGAGTCTCCAGACCACTAAAATCCTATCAGGGCTCCAACAGCGTATTTAGCTTTCTTTAGGAATTTGTAGTTTAGAATAAAGCGTTTTAAATTTGACTTATGTGATCAATTAAACCGATATGGCTCCAACAATATGTTAATAAGCTAATCGCAAGAAGCCAGGTTATTATTCCGGATTGATCGCGTCTACTTAATCAGAAAGTAATAAATAGCACCTGGAAACCTACTAAACCAGTCATCAGCGTCTTTGAATTGCTAGACATTGGTAGATAAGAAAATGACTTGCATCATTTTTGTTTACCCGTCTATGTTTGATTTTTTGACATCAATAATTAGTTCTCAAGTGGACAAGGTCGAGGAAACTCTAAGCCCTTACATCTACTTCCGAAAAATAAAGTTCATATTATGAAATTAAGCGAATATGATTGGAATGCTTGCCAATTTATTATTCATTATAATTTTTTATAATTTTGACTAATTAAGCACTCGAATTGTATGACATCGATAAGATAATCAAACTTCGATCCTCATAATATGCAAAAACAAAACTTCTTGAATGATTTTCAAATAGTAAATTTGCCTGATTATAGTTAAAAGTAATTCTCAGATTGCGCAGTCACGTTAAGGATGGAATGTGAGCCAATCGAAAGTGCCCATATATTACTAATCCTTATCTAAGGCGACCACCGACATCGCTTATAAAAGGGGTCGCCCTGGTCCGGATGGGAAACAATCGCTGGTTGTACGCCTGCAGAAATGGCAAGAACCACAGTAGTGCTGCTTATTTTTGGCCTGGCCGTGTCCAGTGCCCTCGACTTGGACCCGGAGTTAAACGGCGACATCGAACTAGGTGTAAGGGAGTACCAACGCCTGAACAAGCTGCGGCACTTGCCGGAGGAGTTCTTTAGCCACTACCAGAACGTAACCTTGGAGGACTTGGTGCCCGAGGGACGGCTGCCCACAGTCCAGGACCTGCAGTGTTATGCGGAATTCACCCAGCTGACCGCAGGACTGGCCACTGGCAGTCTTTGGGCCTTCAGAAGTAAATGAGATGGACGTTGAGTGTGCGCACCCATTTCACTTGTTTTTTTTTCCGCTTAGTGATTGACTCCTGGGGATCGGTACCGGCCGGTATCCTGAAGGGCCACCTCAAGGATCTGGGCCACTATGACGAGTGCGTGGCCATCGAGCAGACCCTGGCATCAAGCCACACTCTGCTCGGCAAATACTGCCTGGCCAATCTGCCGCTGCAGCCATTGATGAGGATCGGTGTCCAGACGGCCGTTTGCTTTCCCGCCTCGTGCTCAGCCAGCAACATGGACACTCTGCTGCGGCGGGTGCTCAAGCAACTGGTCGGTCTGGAGCTGAGTGACAACCAAACTCTGGTCAGGGAAAGCACCTGCAAAACTTCGGAGCGTGAAGCCTACGATGCTGTCACCATTTTCACAATGTAAGCTATAAGTGCTTACCTCCCCTTACCTCACCTTTACTTTAGTTTCAATTTAACAGCGTTCTTCTGTCTGTGTTTGGTGGTGTGGTGGCCCTGGCCACTCTCTACGACTATTTCCTGTGTGAGGATCAAAGTGAGTGGGGGGTTTCTCTGAATAAGGTTCGGTTATTGAAATTCTATTTCAATTTTAGAAAAACTGCCCGCCCTTCTGAAGGCTTTCTCTGCGCGTGCCAATTCCCGATCGCTATTCCGCATCACCACCGAACCCAATCCCAATGTGATTGAGTGTCTGCATGGAATTCGTGGAATGTCCCTCATTTGGGTGTGCTTGGGTCACGACTACGTAATTGGCATCACTTCACCCAACATCAACATGTACGATGTGTATACTGTAAGTTCTGAGAGTTCTCATTTTTAAAGAAAACTTATAGCTTTACTATTTTTAGTGGGCGAAAACCCCTTTTATGAACATCATCTATGAGGGCGTGTTCGCAGTGGACAGCTTCTTCTTCATCAGCGGTATGCTGGTCGCAATGGTCGCCCTGCGTTCGATGGAAAGGTGAGTGCTCTGTGTACCTTATCCCGACCCTTTCCACCGACTCCTATATTCCTAGGGCCAAGGGAAAGTTGAACATTCCGCTGATGTACCTTCATCGCTATCTGCGCCTCACGCCCATCTTGGCCGTATCTATTCTGCTCTACCTGAAGCTGCTGCCGCTCATGGGCGACGGTCCGCTGTTCGGCAACTGGAACTTTGATAGCTACGATAGCTGCAACGACAACTGGTATTGGACCCTGCTCTACATTCAGAACTACGCTGCTGATCAGCAAGTAAGTGCGCCCCCCACCCTCCATTAACACTATACTGAAGATTGTCGGTTCCATGAAGTGTTTGGTTCACGCCTGGTACCTGGCCATCGATATGCAGCTGTACATCCTTGCGCCCGTCCTGCTGATCATCGTGTACAAGTGGGGTAAAAAGGGTGCCGCGGTGATCCTGCTGCTTCTGCTGGCACTGGCTGCCTATCTGTTCGGCACTATGGTGATCAATAACAACTCTCTGTAAGTAGTCCCCAAGTCTCTGGCTGCTTCTACGTACATCACGTTGGACTTTGCTTTGCTTACAAGGATAAACTCTGGAGGCAGAGAAGGCCCAGACGACTACACAGATGATCTGTCGCACTACACCCACAACAGGGCCTCGGGCTGGCTGGTCGGTTTCCTGTTCGGCTACTTCCTGCACACGATTCGCGGCAAGACCATCCAGCTGAGTCGTCCTGCCATCTGGCTGGGCTGGATCACCTGTCTGGTCCTGCTGCTCACCTGCATCTTCGCCATGTATCCGTACGCCAAGGCCAATGCCAAGACGCTGCCCATCCTCAACGAGGCCTTCTACGTTTCGCTCTCGCGAATCGCTTGGCCCCTGGGCCTCAGCTGGGTGGTCTTTGCCTGCATGCAAGGATACGGTGGACTGGCCAACTCCTTCCTCACCTCGCCGCTGTGGCAGCCTGTGTCGAAGCTCTCCTTCTGCATCTACTTGGGGCACCTGCTGATCCAGAACCTCAATGGCGGGCGCACGCGGGTCAACACCTACTTCTCGAACTACGACATTGTAAGTTTCCACTTAGTCCTAGTAAAAGTCATATATTTGCCCCATTTATTTATTTTATTTATTTTATTTATTTTATTTATTTTATTTATTTTATTTATTTTATTTATTTTATTTATTTTATTTATTTTATTTATTTTATTTATTTTATTTATTTTATTTATTTTATTTATTTTATTTATTTTATTTATTTTATTTATTTTATTTATTTTATTTATTTTATTTATTTTATTTATTTTATTTATTTTATTTATTTTATTTATTTTATTTATTTTATTTATTTTATTTATTTTATTTATTTTATTTATTTTATTTATTTTATTTATTTTATTTATTTTATTTATTTTATTTATTTTATTTATTTTATTTATTTTATTTATTTTCTTTATTTTATTTATTTTATTTATTTTATTTATTTTATTTATTTTATTTATTTTATTTATTTTATTTATTTTATTTATTTTATTTATTTTATTTATTTTATTTATTTTATTTATTTTATTTATTTTATTTATTTTATTTATTTTATTTATTTTATTTATTTTATTTATTTTATTTATTTTATTTATTTTATTTATTTTATTTATTTTATTTATTTTATTTATTTTATTTATTTTATTTATTTTATTTATTTTATTTATTTTATTTATTTTATTTATTTTATTTATTTTATTTATTTTATTTATTTTATTTATTTTATTTATTTTATTTATTTTATTTATTTTATTTATTTTATTTATTTTATTTATTTTATTTATTTTATTTATTTTATTTATTTTATTTATTTTATTTATTTAATTTATTTTATTTATTTTATTTATTTTATTTATTTTATTTATTTTATTTATTTTATTTATTTTATTTATTTTATTTATTTTATTTATTTTATTTATTTTATTTATTTTATTTATTTTATTTATTTTATTTATTTTATTTATTTTATTTATTTTATTTATTTTATTTATTTTATTTATTTTATTTATTTTATTTATTTTATTTATTTTATTTATTTTATTTATTTTATTTATTTTATTTATTTTATTTATTTTATTTATTTTATTTATTTTATTTATTTTATTTATTTTATTTATTTTATTTATTTTATTTATTTTATTTATTTTATTTATTTTATTTATTTTATTTATTTTATTTATTTTATTTATTTTATTTATTTTATTTATTTTATTTATTTTATTTATTTTATTTATTTTATTTATTTTATTTATTTTATTTATTTTATTTATTTTATTTATTTTATTTATTTTATTTATTTTATTTATTTTATTTATTTTATTTATTTTATTTATTTTATTTATTTTATTTATTTTATTTATTTTATTTATTTTATTTATTTTATTTATTTTATTTATTTTATTTATTTTATTTATTTTATTTATTTTATTTTTTATTTATTTTATTTACTGCTCCACACCAGATGCTGCGTTTCTGGCAGGACTTTGGTTTTTCGGTCTTGCTCGCCTATGTCATGTACATTTTGATCGAAGCTCCGTGCGGCGGATTGGAGAGTCTGATCCTGCCCAACCGAAGACCAGCTCCCCAGCCAAAGCTGCAGCCTGCTGAATCCTCCCTGGAGCCGCACCCATCGCCTGCTGATGTGGAAAAGCAAGCCCCAGATCCTGTGAACGGCAGTGCAACGGCTTCAGCTCCATCGCTGGAATGCAAGACTGAACTGCAGGCCAACGAGGAAAAAGAAGGCAATACTTCTAGTTAAAGCACGCCAAGGAAATCAAAGCGCCTCAATGTAAATAGCATACTACTCATAATTACATATACGAGTAGTTCGTACAATATATCAATTGAATCTTACATGAACAATACTGAGTGTGGAAATGGGAAGAATCTATCTTAAATAGACCATATGAGCAGTTTCAATAGCAATCTATAAAAGGAACAAAACAAACAGGAAACTTTTCTACTGCGTATGAGCATATAGTCTCCTGGCCATTTGAGCAGAACGTGACTCACAGAAGACTCAGTGAATGGGTTTTTTCTGAACTTTGAATTAGATTGCCGCCTATGTTAGTAAATTGCGATTAGTGATGTTAGCCGGAGTGGCGCACGGGCTCAGTTCACTGCGAACTAATCAAATCGAAGCAGTTTTATTTGGTAAAGGACTTGTTTATCAGCAGTCTGAGGTAAAACAAAAGCCTCTTGAAGATGCATATCTGATTGAATGTCAAGAAGCCAAATAAACCCCTAATATTAAATTATACCGTCTAGAGTCTGGGAAATACCATTGCTGATTTGGTTTTCTATTGCCGTGATAAGAGCCCGTCGCTATTTAAGCAAATTAACGTTGAGTTGGTTCAACAGAAGCAACAAGGAAACCCCATTTATTATTTCCTTGAAGCTAAACACCATTTGGATAGATACTAATTCGATGATATCCAAAGTTTAATGATCCCTACGTGCCAGATAACTGTTTTTTCATGTTCTAATCAGATCAGAATGTAACATAGGAGGCTGAAAGTGACCGCATGACACAATTAAATTAAAACACTGTAGTAAAATTGGGGCTGAACTGTCTCCTTCACTGCGTTGAAAGCTGTTGACTGAAATTATAATACGCTCTGGAATGGTTAATATGTGGCTTATGTTAATACGTCAAAAATGTTTAGATATGAAAAACATGTTAACATTTTTTTCAAAAATGAAATTTTTTATCTTTAAATGAGATTTCTTAATAATCGCTATTTTATTATTTTTCATTTTACCTTTGCAAAGCGTAATATTATAATAATATTATAATAATAATATTTGATCGTCCGTTGATTGATGATTTTGAACGGGCTTGATTGTACGACTTTATCCTAAGGCTCTTAAATATACAACCGAAAAAAAGAGGAAAAAATTATTATAAGTTCCATGTTTTTAAATGTCTTTAAACGTTTCTCAATTTCAGAATTACGGATTTAATTTCATTTAAATCGGACAACGATATCATACTTTATGCCATAGGAACGATCGAAAAATGTCAGCCGAAAATTGAAATGAATCTAAGTCTCATTGCTTTTAAACATAAACGCATTAATATTGAATATAGTTGAGTATTAATTATTTTCGCAATAGCTGATATTGATATTTGCTTTTTACTTGTTTTTAATTTTAAAACAGTTAAACCTTAAGGCTTAGCAAAATATTTCTTTCGCAGAGAGAACCCCCTTTGAATTTAAAATGGGATTTTTACTTGGAAAATATCATGAAAATATAATGACAAACTCTTAATATGAAAATGTAAAATATGTGAAGTTGAGATGTGGTTCGTTCTTAAATTTAAAAATGGAACATATTTTTTATTTCAGAATTGATTTTTAGCCATCAATCACTAATAACGGACTTAATTATTTGTTAATTGTTATACTCACTTGTAAATATAGTTCAAACAAATAAAACATAAGTGTAATGATAAGAACAAGTGATTTATTATTGCAAAATTGCAGCGATTAGTTATAGTACTTAAAGCCACTTAGAATTTCACGTTGTGTTCGCAAAGTTCCGAATGGTATTAACCACTTGAGATTCGCCTTTTAACACCCTTGCAGATGGTACTTTAAATTTATTAAGAAGTTCGTAACAGATACTGAAACCTATTTGTTTAAACGTTTTGTAAATTTTTTAATGACTATAACATAAAGTTGCCATAGGTCAGGCGAAACTAAATTGGTATAAATTTGTTTAGAAGGAATAAAGATCACTCTTGCATTTTCTCTATAAATGTAGTATGTTGTCAAAGATTTTGTGTCTTCCAAGCCAGTTCATAGGTTACTGCTTAGTAGTTGAAGTGGTGTCAGAAAATAAACATTTGTTGCCTTAAAACCTTAATATACCACCCTGTATTGTTTGTTATTGCATGACTAGTGCTTTTACGCGCACTCCATTCAAGTTACGTCACAGACCTCGATAGTGGTTCAGTTCCCCCGTGATTTTACGCACACCCCAATCTAAACAATCAACTAGCAGAGCGCCTTGTTTTCCCATTCACTAAAGCCCCGTAGAGTGCTTTTGGCGCCAAAATGACAAACGGCCGGAGGGAAAGCCGAGCGGAAAAGCTCACGGCTAGTTCGAAAGCGAGAGCTTTGCCGATGACGCCGCGAGCTTTCGGCAGTTGTTTTGGCCATGCCGGCAAACACGGCGTATGAAAATTGTTTGCTAGAAAACCGCACTGTTAGTCTTTTGGAAAAGTTGCCGTCGAGCGGTTGGCTGGATCAGTTGCCCTGTCGCGGAGAAAGAAAGAAAGTTAGTTAATTGATTGTGGCTTCGACATTTTGGGAGATAGAACAGCCAGAACAGGCATCGCGGTAAATGACTCGGCTGCACAACCGTCTTTGTGGCCAACGATTCTCATTCTCCCCACCATCCAAACTGCACTTTGCTGCGGCCATTAATGTCAACACCGCTGTCAGCTGGCTGCGGTTGTCGACGGTGCTGTGTTAATGCTTTTAATTACATGCAAAACATAAAAAAAAGTATTTCGTTAAGTGTTGCCGTGAAGTTTGACATCGGAAATTAATGCACTTGCGGGGGCCGACGGAACAGTTCCACAGTCTATATTCCCCTCCGATCTTGGGTTTTCCGCCGGCATTTCGTAGGTGAGTTCCACTCGCGTTGTGTCAACAAAGTGAAGGTGTCTATGATAATGCTATTGAACCAAACTCTTGTGCTCTTGATAGCTCGAAAAGTAAATAGCCCGAATACAATGTAGAACTTCTATGCTTATAAAGGGCTATCATATTGCTGGCGGACTAAAACTTCACCTTACACAAAAAGACTCTTCAGCTCAAACAAATTTTAAAATTAGTTTTAATAATAGAAAACAATTGTGCGAAATTGTTGAATCTCACCTCTGTGATAATCAAGCTGCCACATTAAGTTCTGATCGAATAAATGAAACCATTCGACTTGTCGGCATTTGCATACGCGTTTCAATGGTTCTGTGTATCTCTATAGCCCCGACTTTCCATTGAACCAGCCACCGAACCAGGCATCGTCATTAATAATGTTTATTTTGTTGATAATATTGATTTCAAAGTATAAACACTGACAAATTAATGCCACTACTAAGCGTAAGCATTCGCAAAGTCATGATCGTCATGATCGCGTTCGTCGTGATTATTTCGAGTGTATGCTTGAAACCGCACTCGAAAAGTGTGGCGATGTGAGCTTCTTGAATCGCCCCCGAACCCCCTCCCCCTTCGCTGTGACCTTGGGCCGCATTCAAAATCCCAAACGATGTCGCAGAATTTTCGAACTCATTTTGGCGGCTCAGGGCTCACGGCTCACGTTCCCATACTCAAGTGCCGGTCCAGAAATAGGCGAATAAGTTGTATAAATATGGGTTTTTATTTGCTTAAGAACACATTTCCAACACCCCCAATGGCCCACCCATCGTCGGCTCATTAAATAAATGCAACATCTGTTGGCGCTCTTCGGGCCTTTTGTTTACCATTCGTATTGCCGCGCAAATTTAATGCCAAACATATTTAATACGCACCCAGGTCGACTTAGCCCGGCTCAGTTGTGTTTGTTTATAAATTTGGGCAGTCGGAACGTCATATGCGGGTGTGGGCGTGGCCTTAAGGGGTGAGTACTCCCATCTCCCCATCGGAATCCATCCTACGTCCTAGTATATCTTTTACAGCCCAGCAAACTCTGGCGCAAATCGGATAAGAGAGCGCGAGCGGCATAAGAAATATGAAAATTTATTGCGTATACGCCGGAGAGGACGGCGTTTCTTCTTGAGATTTTTTCCGCCTGCATCACAAGTTGATTGGGCTTTGCTATTTCGGTCAGCCGCCAAACCAACTGCCATCAGCCAGAGGCCCAGTTCCAAATCAAATGTCTTTATTTATGCGAGTATGAATTGTGATTTATGCGCTCGTCTTTCATGTTGCCATAGTTGTTTCTATCTGGCCGTCTCATTTTTTACGCCTTGCTCCGTCTAATTACGCACTGCTGGAAATGAGAAAAGCGTACGAAACCGGGGTAGTCGGAAAAAAGGAAAAGTATGCGGTCAAACACGTCGTCGCTGTCCATCGAAAGCAGAAGATGAGGCGAAATTAAGTCAGTCGCTTGTCCATTTGATTTGCCAGACGCGTGTGTGGTGCCTTTCGATTTTGCGACTTCAGTTTTGGGTCTTCTGTTTTCTGGGGCAATCGCGATCGCGTTTGCAATCGCAGAAACGCCGCCTGAATAAGAAATGCCCGCCACTTTTGTCGCCACTTTCTGACTCACAGGCCCAATAAACAGCAGCCACGCCATTCTCAGCGTGAGTTTTGTTTTCAAAATTTAAGTCAACTGTCACCCACAATGCAAATAGAAGGTGGGCCATCCAAAAGGGGGTGATGTGTCGATGGGTTGGGCGCTGTTTTCGATGCAGCGTTTACTTAACCCAAATCAAAACTATTGATGATTGGCGATATAGTTTTAATGAGCCTCATATTTATTTTGCTAAAATGTTACTTTTACTTTCTGTGAGCTAATTCATTTTTATGGCCAAAAAATTCGATTGAACTTTGGCGGGTGGGTTTCTTTATGTTCGGAAAAATAAACAAGGGGCAATGTGAAAATGAGCTCAGCGATTAAGTTTAACGATTATGAATTGTTGAAAGGGCACGTGCAGGATTGGGGTTGCGGAGTGGGGCGGTGTACTAATGCGTGCTTAATTTACTGTCAACGCAGTTACTAAGTACTACACCGAGAAAATAATTCATTTATTAGACATTTCTGTCTTAAGCCGAAAACACTGCATTTTAAGCTGCTTAAGTTTAAATGTTCGAAAGTAACAATAAAATGAAAATACGTTTAAATCCGAGCTGTGAATCCATTTCAATTTGGTTTAGGTTCGGATCAGGGTTCGAACCTAATCGATTGATAAGGTTACGGTTTACGAACTGATTATAAAGTTATATATTCTAAAATTACTTAATTGAAATTGGCCAAACGAATGTCGTTTAGTGTATTGAACTGTATTCTTTCCATTATTTCTTTTAGTAGAAGTAGACTATATTTTAACTTAACAAACGAGATAAAATGCTGTGACGACATTTGATGTCAAATTTTGTTACGAAAATGGTTAAGCATTT